GGTCGCTGATCCAAGCACTATCCAGGCTTGGCCTTGCTTCGGCTTGCAAGTGCGTGTGTGTGTGTGCGCGCGTGTTTACATGCAAACTAGCAGTTTCATTTCTGTGTCCCTTGTGTGGCGCTCCGAAACAAACGCCCAAGTGCCGTGGTGTGGTTCTGGTATGGGCCCGGCTGTAACGGCGATGGAGGGATTGAGTGTCGCCATGGGCCATCGTGGGGGCAGTGTCGCAATGCACTTTGTTTTGCAATTCCTGGGGGGGGGGGGGGGTTGACTCATTTCTCTATCGGCTGCGTCCGCGAGCAATTCCGAGTTCTGTACCCTGGCTTGCTTTCCGTGCAGCGGTTGCTGCTGCTCCGCCGCCGCGCTCTGCCATGCGTCGTGAGTGCAACACGTTTTCGGTTTTATGTTTGCAATCGCACAGCGGTTATGACGTTTGTAATGCAAGGTCGTTTTTTTCATTTGTACCATTGAACAACAACAAAAAAACCCTGAAATCTGGTAGCGTGTTTTCCCCCGCACCTCCGATTTGCACGGTTGGCTGCATACGGTGTGAGATGTTGAATATACGTGCGCACGTACGACATCGTTGTCCTTTCTTAAAATTTTAAACTGCAGAAATAGATGGACTAAATTTACATGTTGACCGATGTTCCCGTTCGGCCTTGGTACGCTAGAAATGTCTTTCTCCATGAACACGATAGAGACTTTCTCAGGCGTGGTTTTTCCCCAGTCACAACAGTGATTCTGGCATGGAGAAAGTATTCCCTTGATGGGAGTGAGTTCTAAATCCTGCCCGAGTTGATGCAGATTCCCTTCATTATTGGCTCAAGGCTCTCATCGGCAGATGGGCCCTGACCCTTGCTTGTTTTGAGCGAAACTTGTCTTGTGTTTATAAAGTATGACCATTGGTAAATTAGAAGTCCCAAGGCTTTGTCTTTGATAATGCTATCTATATGACAGCAAAAACTAGGATTGGATGTCGTTTATAAACACACTTGAATGGACGTTATGTTAACTTTGTGTACCATGGCCTATTTGGTTTCAGCATTCCAAAAGTAAAAAACTTTGAACTTGCAGCAACCGATTTTTTTTATGTGCGTTTCATATTTGCTTGCGTTTGTTCATTAGCGTGGAGTTTTTCCTCCCCCCACCCTACCCCCCCCCCCCCCCCAAAGTTATGACACAATTCGCAGTCAAAATAGAAATCATTTTAGCTGGGCGTTGCCCCACCTGGACGCGCTAATCGTTTAATGGAATAAGCGCGGTGATGCTATTGATAAATTTAATTATGACTAGAGGGGTAGCGTAATAATCACGGTGTCGAAGCTTATGATGATGACGAATCCTACTACAGACTTAACTCGCTTTCTTACCCATCCCTCTGATGCATTCAACCCCATTTAAACGTGCAATTGAGTATAAGACGGGAGTTTGGACATTAGGCTCTATCAGTAGGTTGTGTTTGTGAGAAATGGCTTAATAGGCTTTGCACCGTGTGTGTGTTAGCACTGGAACTGTTACTATTGAGCAACAAAAACATTTGGATTTAACGGCTCGGGAATCTATTGACTTTCATCAAAGTAATTTAACGGTGTCCTGCAGGAGACGGTACAGAAAGTAGGATTTTGATGGGCAGGTTGTGTTCTCTGATTTCTATACGCAATTAGTATGTTCTAGCCAATAACATTAAAACTGTACAATTGGCCACCATTCCATAGTTACTCCTGAATGTCCTCACCCAATGATGTTGAAACAAGAACAGGATCTGTACATTGTATACTGAACTTTATGGTGAAAGACTTTTGCATTTTTTCCATAAACGTATTCTAATTTTCAATGTAATTGGCAAGCGTGTTACTGGCAACATCTCTTTAGCTGAGACTTACGTGCTCTAGGCATAGTTTTTAACATGACTCACCTGCTGTTTAGTAAGTGAGTGCAGGGTTTAGAAGTATCTTCCCTGATTGGCTATGGATTTATACGTACAGCCAGAAAATAAAGGCTCTTGTGTAATACAATAATTGGGTACAAGCACAAGTTCGTTATGCGTTTCGGTTTGATCGAAAATTGTATTCATTTTGTAACCTTTTGTGGCTTAAACGTTAATGTACGTCCCAGTCGCATTTGTTTTTTTGACAAATCACCTTGGATCAGATTTTTATTTTGCTAGGTTCCAAAGGAGCCGTTAGGACATGTTCTGCATTGAAAGACAGGAAAGCATGCATTGGAGAATATATACACGGGTTAGACATCGTATTATTGACTGTTCGGAAAAATAAGTGAGAGGATGCAGCGCTCCTGAGGGTTGATGACTGGTGGCCAAGACTAGCGACAGAGGAACAATTGGAGGAGGTAACAGCGGTCATCCACTATGGAGTATTGAGCGGATGGGCTAGATTGATTGTTACGTTACAGGACTGACAAATTAATCGATCCTGGAGAAATCCGATAAGCTACTATGTAACGTTTTCACAGATGTCCAGTGGGGGCGGGTCAGAAAGTTACAACAGGAAACGATACGACAACATTATCGGAGTGCAAAGTATAGGACAGGTAAGCAAATAAACGAAAGCGAAACTATTTTATTCACCAAATAAGGCCCACTGAGCTGTTCTTTTTCAGAAGTGACCTGGCCACAAATACTAGCTCAACAAAAAGTGGCTTATCGTGTGCAAATTTATAGCAGCCAAATACTCCTCAACGCGTAATGTTGATTTATAAATGTGAAGGGAAAAACCGGAGGACCCAGAGAGAAATCCACGCGACCACGGGGAGAACATGCCAACTCCAGATGTACAGCATGCGTTCGGGTCTGGATCTAATCCACAGCCACCTGCATGCCACTGCAGTAAGAGATGTGAAATTACTTGGCGCCTTGAGGTTCTATGAAAGGGTCCATACAAGCTGCTATTATTATAAAAGAACGATGATGTGCATTAATTCAATGTCTAAATGGCAGTGTAATGGCATATGCCTGTAGGAATTAACGCCAATGCAAATTGATTAACCAGAGAAATATCATCAAGCCTAGACTTTCTGAGGGGATCTGCATTGGTATGTTTTTGGACGGTTCCGTTATGGAACAAGTGGCATACAGGAGGAAACTGGAAACCCCTTTGATCCAGCACGTGGGAGTAACACTCGATCTCCGTACAGATATATTCAAGAATGTATTACTTTACCATTCTGTTCCGACCACTTCACCGAAACTTGGGAGGCACATTTGATGGAACAGAGGCGGTACAGAATCGAACCCACGGCCACCTTCATACCGGACAAGGGAGATCACACCACCATGGTGCTCCTTAAAATAATAAACTAAATGAAAGTACAATTTAAAAACCAATCACCAACCTTTGGAATGCATGTATCCAGGTATTGATTGATCATGGTTAATGCTGATTACAACTCAAATGTGTTTGTCATAGCATCGGACAACCCAGTAGCATTGGTTAAAAAAAATGCAGTGTAAGGGGAGGATATCGTTGGTTTAGAGATGACATGTTGTCGTTTCCACTGCTGCTTTCGGCCTGCATACGGAGATGAGAACCATGCCAATACTATTTGTTTCTATTCGGTAAAGTCACGTAGGTAAAAAAATAAAACAACCAAAAATCACGACGTTTTGGCCACAACACAAGCGGCCTTCATCAGGTGAAGGGACCAGACTGTCTCGAGGACAGCGCTGGAGTGAACACGGCTAAGCTCAGACCGCGACCTTTAAGCTGTGTGAGAGGAATCAAGGTGCCTTGACAAAGGAATTGGCATAAAATTTTGCATTTAATTGGCGGACTTAGCATGATGAAAGGTGAACATGTGCAGGTCGGCGAGGGGGGGGGGAGGTGTGAAAAGAGAAGCTGCGAAAGTTTGGGGTGACACTGCTTGAAAAACTATACTGTACCATTGAAAATTAGTTTAATGTTTGGTTTGATTCAGAACATCTTTCCAATGGTTGCTTAATTTGAAACCATCTTCTCGGTTGAAATTGTGTCTGCGTTTGTAAATCTGAATTGCCTCGTGAACAAATCTCTGATTTGAACCAAAGAGTATGGATCCTTGCAGTCACGAAAGCTTCAAATCTAGAACCATGCCAATGCTCGTTTTGAGTAGACTCGTTACTGTTTAAATGTTGCGAGGTCAAGTGGGGGGGGGGGGGGGACAATTCGCCCCATTTGCCCAAGGCCGATAAAATAAGTATCGATTTGTGGTAACATCAAAGCGATAATCCTACAAAGAGACTTAAAACAATTTTGTTAGAATTCAACCGTAGTCTGTACGTGGAGGGGAGTTATCGTTTACGTATACTGGAAGTATCGCAAAACAAGTACTATTGCAAGAGTGAAGGAGCCGATTATCGCGAAATGTAATCGCATCCTGGAGCGCGATTATCGCGGCAACCTCTCGAGGTGACTTTGCGTTTCTTCGAGCTATCAAAGTTACTCTTGGGGTGACACGTGGCAATCCTCGCCTCATTTATTGGCAGACTAATGCCCACTTGACGGTCCAAAGTGCTGTCAGCTTGTCTCGCACAGGGGACCACTCGCTGGAGGGCGTTCCCCTCCCACCCCTTCAAATGTTGATCTTTGAGACGTGTGATGCGAGTCGCTTTATACGCGTGTTTACATTCGCTCCGAGATGGGTGTCTCCATCAAAAAAACTAATGTATATTATTAACTTGCCAACTTTCAGAGATTCGAACAAACCTGTCCGTAATGTCCAGTGGCCTGTTTGAACCGAGAGTCGTAAGTTCAACCTCCGCACAATCGATTGCGGTGGTGGAATCTACATCTCCAGAACCATGAAGAACCAGTGGCACGCCTGCATCTACAGAAAATTATCCAACTTTTAAAGCAATTCCCCGTGTTTTAGTGTACATGTCGTGCAACATGTTTGGAATCAACAGGACCTCCTGGTACCTAACTCGTTTTGTAAGTAGACGAGTCCCCCCCGTAATAATAATTCGTAAAAAAAAAAGTCTTGGCTGTGTGTGTTTGTTGCAGGTGCCGGCCGGCCGGCCCTGGCGGGCTGCCTGAGCCAACCCGACCTGCTGCTGTCACGGGGCCCCGACGAGTTGCTGGGGGAGCTGCGTGCCACGCGCGACGAGCTGGCGCGGCGCCTGCGGTGCGCACAGCGGCTCGACGTGCAGAGGGGCACCGCCCTCGCTGCCCTCGCCACCGCGCTGCAGAACTTCGCCGCCAGGGTATGCAGGGGCACGGGGCGTGGGGTGGGCGCCCTGTGTGTGTGCGCGTGGCGCCAAGCGGGGGAAATGCAGAAAGCTGGGCACAGCTGGTGATCTTGCCAGTCGTCTCGGACAGTCGACCCATGGCACCCCTGGGTCTGCCCGTGACCTCCTGCCAGCAGCGAGTTCTCAACACCTTCACTTGGCCACGAAGTGCACCGAACCTGGAACAAGCGCTGTGGTGATGTCCACCGCCACTTAATGGCGAATGGCGGCTGTAGTTCCTCTAGGTTGACTCTGTCTTAAATGCGTACCCAGTGCGGTGAGTAAAGGTCAGCGCTGGGGAGACGAAGGCGGCTGGGGATTGGTGCTGGTTACCTAGCTCCTTGTGTGCCGACTTGCATGGATGCTCGCCACACATTCTTTGGTTATTTCGGTAAAGTCACGTAGCTAGAAAAATAATAAAAATAAAGTAAATACAATAAAAAAAATAAAAAAACACTAATGTAGACTGTAGCCTGGTTCTTAAGTTTGAGTGTGTACTAGCAGTCTATAATGTAGACTAGCAATGGTTATTAAGCTGGGTGAGTGTACTGGCAGTCTATAATGTAGACTGTCGCCTGGTTCTCACCACTGTTGTGTTCCGAGTGCGCCGGTGGCGATGTTAACTACCTCGCCTGGTATACAGGGGGTCGCGTGTTCCATCCCCACCCTGACGCCTGCCGTATATTCGGAGTTTGCGTGTTTCTCCCTGTGGTCCCGTGGATTTTTTCTGTGGGTCCTCCGGTTTTTACCTCCACATTTTAGAAACATGTTTTAAGAGTATTTGGCTGCAATTTTTCCACGTGATAAGCCACTTGGGTTATTAATTGTGACCAGGTAGCCTCTTAAAAAGAGCTATATAGCTCGGTGGGCGTTACCTGATAAAATAAAAGAGTTTAGTCTTCAAGGACTGGATGGAGCCCGTCCGTGCCATGTGATCAAATAAGGATTTGAGCTGCTCTACTGGAGAAAGATCCAGGCAAGTGAAATAAAATGTGAATCATCACGCCAGACAACAACCAGTACAGCTGCCCAGAAACATATCTTGCACCGAGTTTTGGGATCAATTCATCCTCGTGGTGCCTAATTACACTGGCACAGAGGGGTGCCTGCGATTTCTGTAATCATGAGGGTAGTTAAAATGAGACTGCGATTATTGGGGAGGGGGGGGGGGGTCCGCTCCTTGTGAGGTCCTCCCGAATGAGTGGTCAAGCGCACGCCGGTCATTGGTGTTCCCCTGTAATTAGCGGGGCTGTTCTCGTCGTCTTTGCCAAACCAACCTCTCCTCCCCTTTTTGTTGAATTCACGGTTGCTGCCAGGTGCTGCTTCAAAGCCACGAATTCTCATTTTTGCCTGCGCAAAACTCTTTTGCATCGAGAGGACCTTTTGGAACCTGTGTGGCCTCGATGCCAGCAGGTGGCAGTGTGGTCATCAACTGCGGAACCACATCAGCTAATTTTAAAGTTCCCTTTGTCCTTAAGAAAGGGCCATTTTCTTCGGCCAGTATTCATGATGATGATGGTAATTGCGGGATTTAAAAAGTTAAAATGTGTGCTTGGATTGGTATCGTACACTACTGCTAACGCAGTTGTATAACGTTTATTATTCTAATTATATTCAGAGGCAATTATTAGTTTACAACTTTTTATTAACAAAGTCCCACTTGCTGAAGTCAAAATTTTGTTAGTGAGAGTAGTTAAGAAGAAACTTTTTGCTCGTAAGCAGCCAAAAATGCGGCTTTTCCTAAGTGGTGCATGCTTTGTAGTCTCTTGCGATGCATTCTGCACCACCCAGGCCCATTGACTGGTCCACCCGTGAACGGATTCCACTTCCCCACCTGTGGGCAACCGAGTGGTCTGACCTTTGTGGGTCACTTCCAAAGGAGTTTGCGGGAATCTGGTTTTGACTCTGATAATCCAGGCAGTGGTGTCTGTCCAGGTGACGGGCATTTCTTTTGTCTCGAGTTCTGGTGGCTCGTGTTGAACTAAAATACAGTGGACTGCATAGTTTTGATAGGCCAGGGGTTGGCAACCCAAATAACAGAGCCATTCAAGATCCGCATTGCACGTGACTACGAGACGGCCGTCCTTAATAAATAACGTCACGAGCCAGTCCACAAAGAGACGCGGCTCCGGGAAGCCGCAGGTTGCCGACCTAGGCTGACCTGAAAGCCGTCTGGGTTTGATCTGTGAGAAAAGGTGGCGAGCCCGAGTTAGAGTCAGGTGTGCAGGTGAAGAAGAGGTTTGTCCCGCTGATTTATACAGTGCAGCAGCAGCAGCATCATTCTGGACGCTCCTCGGGGATTCGTGTTGAACTTGTTCCAGATTTTCTCGTTTTTCCTTGTCCCCCTGCTCTCAGACTTACGAAGGCAAATATTGGTGTTGGCTCGAGCGCAGCAGGGCACTGTCTTTTGGCTTTGCATTTCATTCGGGTTGCGTGTGCCCCCCACCACCCCCCCCCCCCCATTATCGTTTTCGTTACGTCCCAACGTTTCCACTTGGCAAAATTCAACGTCGGGTTGTCGCTCCTGAAAAATGCGCGCGTGCGCGCCGCCCTCTTCGATCGAGACCACAACAGGAGTTGTGGCGAGGCTGCGTGGAATATTTTTAAAAGGTCCGGGTGGGGGGGGGGAATCTCCACCCGCGAGAAGACGCTTTATGCTGCGTCTGCTTCCACACGTAGCGACGGACGTGCCGGTAACAAGAGGGCTCAAGCAGAGCCGTGACACTACATCGCCCCAAGCCGCTGTACGTTTTTTTGCGAGACGACGGCTATTATCGTGACGTCGTTAATGTTTTTGATGGGATGCTGCCCGTGGTGCAACGGTTGACACCACTGGATTTGTAATCCAGAGGTCGTCGGTTCAGTTAAAACTAAACTCTTTCATAAGGTAAGGCCCCGACTTAGCTTGTTTTTCAGAAGCGCCCTGGCCACAAACGATAGCTCAACGAAGTGGCTTAACATGTGGAAATTTATAGCAGCCAAATACTCTAAACGTTACTTTTCTAAAAGTGTGGAGGGAAAAACCGGAGTACCTGGAAAAAAAAACCTACGCCACCACCGGGAGAGAGAACATGCAAACTCCCAAATATACAGGCGTCAGGATCTAGCCCACGAACCTCCTGTAATACTGTACGAGGTAGTTAATATCTTGCCAGCGTTGAAATAATGAGCGCGTTCCTTACACACTTCTCCGCTCGCCTGCCTATGTCCACTTAGCGGGGTATATACGTGGATTGCACGATGGGGAGTCAATTGGCATGTCACGGGGTGGAGTGTGGGTACACTCCTACCGTGTCCAAAATGTCCATCTTGCATGGAAGTGTTCCCAAATACCCATTAAGAAGTTCGCTAGGGCTCGCTAGTTAAAGGCCTTTCTGCCAGCGGTGGCGTGAGCTTGGGAATTGCGGGGCTGCACCTTCGCCTTTCCATGAACCAACCATCACGCGAACTCGGTGTTCCCCGCAGCAGTGGCTTTTGGTTAACCGTCGAACAAAGACGTCCATTGCATCTCGTGCTTTCAGATGCCGTTTTGCGGCCGTCTGGAACGGCTCTTCCTTCCGATATACTGGAAGCCGCACTGGAGCTATGCACTTTCAAATCGAGCTTGAAAACTACTTTCTTTAGAACTGCTTTCTGCGTTCAGCTTGTTGCCCCATTTTCCCCTGCACGTCCAATTAGCACGGTCCGCTACGTACGGCGCGAAGGAGATGTATAGATGAAAGCATGCAACACATTCTGCAGATGAAACGCTTGCAGAAAGGTTGAGCCGGCTGTGTGGAGCCGCGCACGTAACGCAGCGGAGCTCTTCATTTGCTGTGGCATCGGTGAGGAATGAAGCTAGTGCGGGGCCTGAAGCATATGTTATAAAGGGGCCCTAAAAATATATATACAAATATTAAAACACAATTTTTGTTACTTGCATAGTAAAGTAATTGTATTTTTTCATTGCTATACAGCCAGATAATACGACAAATCGAGAACCTTAGACACCCCGTTGTTCATAAAAGTTGAAGGCAATATAGTACTGTAGTAATAGGGCAAGTGCAGAATCCCTGAAACCGGAATTGATAGCTTAAAAAGCATTTAGCGCAGGGCCCTTGAAAGTGCGGGGCCCGTAAGCAATATGTAGCTACTTTTACTCCCAGGATAATCCGGCACTGTGTGGCATCGTTCAGCTTTCTCCACAGCGCAGGGAATTATTAAAACGCGCATCGCCGACACGCCGCCGTTGTTGGTCCTGGCGGCAGTTTGCGTGCCCCGATGCCGCACATGGGCAGTGGAACCTCTGCCGCTCCCGCCGGTGTGGTTTTTTTTGTCGGGACAATATTGCCTCGTTTTCCTTTCGCTCTCCCGAGGTGCGATTTCCGTACGCATCCCAGTCACTTTATGACCGTCTGCTGTTCCCTGCACGCGGTCCCCCGTGCTGAGCTCGGCGCGATGGGGACCGCGTGTGATGATGCAGAATGATTGTGTTAATGTAAAGCGTGTGTGTGCGTGTGTAAAGTAATAATAATAATAGCTCTGTACAAGCTGCTTCTGCAGTAATAGCACAGGCCACTTGGTAAAGAATCGGTTGCACTTGGACGAAAGTGCCTGAAATGCGGTTTTGATCCTATTGGATCTCTCGAGCTAAGCTGCGTTGGATGGTGACCATTGTGCATAACAGGTACTATAGGTTGGCAGGAGGGTGGGGGTTATGGGCAGCAGAGGTCCGTGGATCAAAATGCATTGTATATTGTACTAATGCTCCCTGTTCAACCCGAACTGACCAGTGTGGTGAAGTGTGAACAGCCTTGAAATGCACATCGTGTGGAAGGCCCTCATCCAGCAGTGCATTGACTCACGATCGGAATATTTATACGGCAAGGAATCCGATTAGCTACGAAGCTCTCTTTCACAGTTGTCCAGTAGGATTGACGAGCGACTCTACACGTGCAGCGGTTGTCACGTGGTGTCTTCCTTGCTTAAGTGAGCAT